GCCCCGCCCCGCCCCGCCCCGCGAGCGCTGTCTGGCCGGCTTGCCCATCCCTGCCCAGCGGGGCTGCGCTGTCAGGCTGCAGCCGGGTGGGGTGCAGGGGAAAATGAAAGTGGCCCTTGTCCCCAAACCCTAGAGGCGGACGGAGCCAAACTCTGTCCCTTCAGGCAGCCCGGGTCCAGAGCTGTCTGGGTGAGGAGGCTTCCAGCTTGCTGTGAGGGGCAGCAGGCGGGATGGGTGCCTCCCTGGCCCACCCACTTTTCATCATTTTTGTTTCCTCTGCGCATAAAAGTAACACAGGCTCTTTGTTAAAATATCCAGACACTGGAGGACATTTAGAAACACGGGGCGGGCGAAAGTCTCTGAACACATTTCAGCTCATGCCTCCAGGTCTGTCATTTTCGTGTGTGGTTTACATGGTGATTAGTACAGCCTTGGGAAATAGCATCACACAATCTGTTGTGACTGGAGACTTAACGATAGAATAGCTCGTGGGTACCTTTCCACATTAGCACCTATGGATTCAAGTTTATTTTTACTCGATGGCAGGGTGAAGTCTTGAAAAAAATGCCTGGACTAGGGGCTAAATGAGAGCTCAGACTGGGCTCTGCTACTGATTGCTGTGCGTGTGTGGCTAAGTGTCCTGCCCTCTCTGAGCCTCAGAGGGACCCTGAAGAGGGCCAAGGTGCCTGCCACTCTGAGACCTAGGTGCTCACACAGGTAGGTCACCCACCGCCCCTGCTCTGCTCCTGTCAAGTGGGGGTGTGCTCAGGAAGGCTGGGCCTGGAGGCAGAGGGACCGCCATCTGGGGTGGCAGTCGGCCCCACCAGGCTGTCACTAATATCTCACCCCTCTGGTCCACCTGCTGCCCAGCTCACACGGGCAAGACCAGTAAGTAGACCAGATGCTGTAACAGCTGGCAGGACCATGCCAACCTTGGAGCTAGAAATGGGCAGGCCTGTCAAGCCCAGACAGCTCCATGTCTCCCTGGGCTTGGGGTAGAATGGGTCAGAGGGAGAGGCTTGGAAAGAGGGGGCCGCAGAATGGGGGCGCCTCCCTCCCGAGTGCTTGACCAGACAGATGCTCTCCTGCTCCCCTCCACCAAGACTTCCCCACTTGGGAGCCAAGTGGATGGGCAGGCTGGCCAGACAGCTGATTCTCTAAGGCCGCTTTTGGGGTGACTAGTTAGGCGGTCTTATGGAACCCCTTCCGCCTCTGCCCATGCCATCCCTGGCTGTCTCCCTCCTGGGCTGGCATATGGATCCTGGACTGCCAAGGGGAAGTTCGGCCTCTGATACCACCCAGGCCGGCCCAGGTTCTGAAGAGGGGCTGAGAGCCTTCTCTGAGCAGAGATTGGTGCCGAGAAGCCAGCCTGGCAAGCCTGCTGCAGCCCTGGGCAGACGGGTGAGGATTGCCTCAGAGAGACAGCTATTGTGCCTCTGGGCATCTGGGACTTGGTCCGTGGCCAGGCCCATGGTTGTTTCCCCACTAGCATGGAGGACTGCGGCCTCCAAGATGATCTCGGTCACTCTGCAGCCCCCAACGGAGTCACTGAGCGAAAGCAAGAGCATTTACTCCGCCTAGACCCGAGTTCGGGAGACATTTATCTCCTCAGCTGTCTGCGGCTCTCAGCCGGGTCTATTCAGATGGCTGGGGTGGGGCGGTTAGGGAGATCTTCAAGGTCTCTGTTCCTAAGAAGACAGTGGGGTAGGTATTGAGGATTCAGGCTGAGTTTTGTCACTTTGTCTATTAGTTTAATACTATTTTATAATATTATTACTAGGTATTACATCATTTTGTAAAGATTTTCTGATTTATGCACACAAGAACTGGGGGTACAGGCCAGAATTAGAGGACTCACCAGAGACAGAGTGGGGAGCGGAACAGGTGGATCTACTGATCTACTGAAATACGCAGCTGAGGGGAGCAGCAGGCGGGTCAGGAGAGAGGTCTGCTGCCTGCGCCATGTGGGTCACTTCCCACATTGAACTCGTGCTGCAGTGGCTGCCCATAGCCTCATAGTGCTGAGATAGCTCCCCTTGTGCCATCAGGGAGGCCACCTACTATGTAAATTATTGATATTAATTTGAGAGTCTCCAATCTGCTGGGAGCTGTATCAAGTGCTTTACCTGAGTTAGCTACCCCAGGAGACACATTGTCATTATTGTCACTCACCTCTAACAGTTGACACTCTGTCAGGCAAAGATCTGCTCAAAATAAGCAGCGAGTGAGGAAACAGAGGCACCCAGCTGGCATCCAGGCCCAGACCTACTGCTGTGAGCTCTGCTGCTCACCCATCCTGCTGGGCTGGGCCAGGGGGTGGGGGGTGGGGACACACAGGAGGGCACAGCACCAGTTCTCTGGTCCCCTCTGGGCCCCAGAAATCTCAGCATGGCTGACTGGAAGGGGTACCTCTCCTCCGTGGATAATCAGTAGGTTTCCACATTGTCCAGAGCAGGACACCTGTCTCCCGAGTCTCCCCAGACACCCTGGCAGGGCAGAGAAGGACCAGCCCATGATGCTCAGGTGGCTAATCAAATGGGCCACTAGTTTGCCCACTAATATGTGGCAACCCCCAGGGGGGCCCTCAGAAGCATCAGAAGGGCCTCCAGCCCTTCCCAGGCCACCTGCGCCTGCAGCCCCAGCAGATGATGGGAGAGGGGACAGTGGATGTCCTCGTCTCGTGGTCAAGGAGGGGCCTGGAGACCTTGCCCCAGGGACAGGCGGAAAGAATTCTGGGAGCCGACATGGCCCTTGGGTGCTGCCTTGGTGACCCTCCTCATCAGTCCCCAGCCTCTCCTGACCTCTCCAGCCATGAGCATCTTCCCCTCTGACTCCAGACCTCAGACCTTTTCTAGAGTCGAGGAGACTGTGTGTCTCTGCACAGCCCAACAAGGTGGGCCCGGAGCCGCAGGATGTGTTCTGGGCAGCCTGATCGTGTGGCAGGTGTGTCCATCTGCTGCTCCAGGGAGGGTGCCAAGGTGGACTGGGCACAGTGCTGACGTCACCCCAGCTGGACAAACAGTCCAGCTGTGTGTGTGGACACAGGTCAGATACATCCGTCCTTAGGGCTCAGCCTTGGCATCCAAAAGGGAGATTATTTTAAAGAATTTATTTATTTTTATTTAGAAGAACTGGGGTAAGGCCAGAGGAGTGGGGGGGTGGGCGGTGAGAGGATTGACCAGAGATAGAGTGGGGAACAGAACAGGCAGATCGACTGAAATACATTGCTGAGGGGAGTAGCAGGCGAGGCAGGACAGGTCTGCTGCACCCTGTGGGTCAGCTCCCTGGAGGGGGATCGAACTCAGGCTATAATGGTGATAGATTGAGGCTAACCCCTGGACCACCAGGGAGGCCCGCAGAGTAAGATGCAAACCTTGCTGAGTCGAGTGAGCGCTGAATCCCATACCATGGGTCTCTCTAGCAAGGTGCCCAGCACATAGCAGGTGCTCAGTAAAGTCTAACTTCCCCTTGGGCTTTGGGGGTTCAGCGTCCCCTGGGTCACCCCAGGGGGTACACCTGTGAGGCTGGCCTGCTGCCGAGAGCATTTCTGCTTCTCTGGTGGGTGACGCTGGATTTGCGCTGGGAGACCTGGGCTCGTGTCCACCCTGTCACTCGTGGCTGCTCCACTGCTGTGTGTCCAGGCTCAATTCAAGACACCCACATACCACCTCTGTGGAGTCCTCCGGCCACCTCCAGGCCCTTGTCTCCCACCACATCTCCCCACTTCTGGCTATAGGACTGAGGCTTTCATTGTGCTGAGATTCCATTTCCTCATTAATGAGATAAATCTTAGGATGGTAGTGAGTGCATGGTGGAGGTTAAGATCATGGTCTTCAGTATATTTGTGCTTTATTTAGCTCATCTGTAACATCAAGAATTTTAAAAGCACCTCATAACAGCCTGATGCCATCAGCAAATACAGATGCTCGTTCCTCGCTGTCCTCTCTAAGGCATTAAGCCTCTGCCCCTACCCAGCACTGTCCGGGCGCAAGGGGACCCTTGTTTACTAAGTGAAAGAATGGAGAACAGCAAAGGTGTCCGTTCAGAGGGAGGAGAGAGGTGCCTGGTGGCTGAAGGTTTGGGGGACTGACGGAGCAGTGGAGCAGAAGTGGGGTGCGGTCCCAGCATGAGGCTTGGGGCACTGCAAAGAGCTTGATTCCGGTGAGGCCAGGAGGAGCCAAGCTGACCTGGGGGTGGGGAGCGTGAGAGGGGGGTTGCTATATGGGTCTGCATTTGCCTTCTAATTTCGCCTGAGGGCCAGGAGGGGTCTGTAGCCCGGGGGGCGTAATTACTCTCTTAGCCATTTCAAGCCAGGGTTCTTGGAGCTTCTTTTTCAGGCTTATAATAGACAATGCTAATGTAATTATTAATATTTAATAGTAATGATGCTAATAATGCCCTGCATTTATGTGGTCTCTCCAAAGAGCTCAAAGAACCCTCAGTTCTTTTTTTATGAAACATTTGGCTAGTGTGGGAGGTGAGAGGTGGGAGGGTGGGGGAAAGAGTCACCGGGAAACCGGAGCCGGGAAAGGGGTACCCATGGGCCAAGGTCACAAAGCAGGAGGCAGAGTGCGGCCCGGACTGGGTTTCGGGTTCTCCCCAGAGCTCCATCCTCCACTGTGCCCGGCCACTGAGTCTGATGCCATGTCCTGGTGGGAGCATCTTCTGGCAAACAGATGTTCCTGCTGGGGGGCAGCGGGGCCCCCAGACACGAGCTGGGCTGCAGAGAAGACAGCCTCTCAATGCTTTTTACTCAGTGTACCAGGGTGGGTAACAGGCAGCCTTGGAGCAAGGCGGGCTCGGGAGGCCTGTGCCAG